CTTCCGGGAACCCATTTCTGTGGAAAAAAAAAGTGAGCACGATTTCTCTCTGCGCATGATTAGAAGAACAAACTTCACAAATTCAACATTAGAACATTTTCCAGTCACAAAAACAAAAAAATTGGTCATTTAGTGAGTTTTTCTTTCAATCTTGTGGCATTAAAAACGCTGATAAAATGGCTTTGTACATGTATTTATGTGCACTACCTGACACTGTTAGCACAAACCAGGCATCCCCGCCTTTCTGCAGGGGTTTACCTGCCATAGCAATGAAGAGCATCTTGATAATCAAGAGAGACGCCAAGAACTATGCACTGACGCTGCGCCAGTACATCGCTGTTCATATAGACGATCAAAATAAAGTAAAGCCAAGTAATGAGTGCGATCTGCAATAAATAACTTTAGTTTTATTCACTCTGCTGCTCACGTGTAGGCGGAGAGGTAAGTTTCTTTTAGCATTCAAATATCAAGTCTCCATGCTCGAGAACTTAAAACGGGGAAAAGCCAGAAAACTCTTACCATCCAATTAATTCAGCTGCAATATTAAAAAGAAAATACTTTTTATAGTGCTCTTACTTTCAATCTTATTCGTTTTAACCGCTCGTAAAGGGGGGGGGGGGGGGGGGGGGGAGGGTAATTTAGGGGCATAGAAATATCGAAGATTATCAATATTACCGTTTTACGAATATTGGCGCTCGTTAAACAAGTCCTACGTTATTTTCATAGTTTCCGCGCTTTGTTTCGACACTCGTCTTTACGTACTGGCCATGGAACATAGGATTAGACATGGAATACTCGGAAGTTAGACATCGCTCACTAGCGAATAAAATGAAAACTTTACCTCCTATTCGCTACGACCCAAGGAACAAAGGTTCTTCCTGATATTCTCCGGCGGAGAGATAAAATGCACGCACTTTTTCCCATAGGAACGCACGGGAGCACCGCAAAAGAGGACTGATTTGCTCTCTGCTTCACTTTTAAACCGGAAGTCCCTTAGACACTAGCGCCAGTTGAACCTCTGGCGTACATTTTGATAACTTTATGCGAGTGACTCTAGACAAACTTGCTGTAAACTTGTGACACAAAGTCAAAGTTGTTCATTAAAAAGTGGTTAGAAGGTTAGCTGCCTTTCTATTGACACTGGCGACAGAAATTTAACTATCATTCTCTGGGGCAATGAATTGCGCAGCGTTTTCAAAAAATGCTTCTGAATATATGCTCTACATTTTTTAAAGGTTTGTATTACATTTTGTGCACATGAATCTAGGAAATATTTTTGTTTTTTTTTTTATTTTGAGGGACTTAGTTCACTTATGGTTATCTTCAGCTATGCCCTTCCTGGGATTCCTCAACTGCAAAGGGTGCAAATCAGCTGATATCTGCAACTCAACGATAAGAGCTTATTTTAATCTCTAATGACGAGACAAAGAAATGTTCGTTAAGTGAGAGAACTCAAATGCGTGGATAGTGAGTGAGCTCAAATTAATAGATATTGAGTTCTTAAAGATAAAAATCATTTACATATCTAACCAGTAAACTTAAAATAATATATATTGAGCTTTCATTGATCATACTAATTCGCAGATCTAATATGGTAAATTAAAAAATGCATATTAATTTCTGAGTGACCAAATTCAATGGCCTTCTAAATCTGTTAATTCTAAATAATAGACATTGAGTTCTTAATGTCCAAGATCATTTTCATTACCAGAGAAAATTAATTTAATAAACTGGATATGGAGTTTCTTATTATCACACTCATTAGACGCTTTGTTTGTACTGAGTTTCAATTGACTGTATAAGAATACATTAAAATCAAATGAAACTTATTTACAGTTTTTGTAAGGGTCTCTCTATATGTACACAGATTTACGCGGCAGAACATTCCGTTTTTCAAGGACACGGACAAAACCCAAATTCACACGCAAAATAAAATAAAAATTCTACACTGTGTGTGGATATGTTTCTGTGCGTGTCCTTGAGAAACAAGATTTTCTGCCGTGTGAGTATGTGCATACACAGCGTCTTTTTTTTCAAGATTAACATATTTGTTTACAAAAAGCCGTGAAAGCTACATTAATGTGGTGTGTATGTGAGTTATACGGCCGGCCAGGGGGACATATCGCAGGGTGCTAGTTGTGACGGTATGTCGAATCATTAAGTAAATTATGTTAACTAAACTTTTAAGTTGCAAGAAATTGACATATGATTACGATCAGAAACTTGTCGAGTATCATTGAAAGTCACTACATCAGTTAGAAAGACTTTGAGCGCATGGGAAGGGCAATAGTGCGCTAAAGTTACCACCCGTGTAACAAGCACAAGACTGGGGCTATGATAACAAACACAAGAAAACTGCGCGGGCGTTTTATAGCACCGGTATCCTTACTCCTGCTGCACGGGTGGTAACTTTAGCGCTCCACCGTGCATTCCACGTGCTCAGAGACCTTGCTGATTTAGTGGTTTTTGCTGGTACTACGTAAATTTCAAATTGGAGCCATATGTTTATTTTGAAAATTTAAAAAGCTAATTCACATATTATTATTTGCAGACGGATCGGGACAATCAGACCCCTGTTTTATTTCCCTCTGGCCGTATAGCTCACCTGCACAAACACAATTATTGTAGCTTTAATGAATTTTTAAAACTAATTCGTTCAGCTTAAACTGCACTTTGTATATGCAGGATAATCAAATAAAATCAGTAGCCGAATTAGAGACGTTGTCTGTCACTTATCATATTTTCTACCAGTGCCAACAATTGTTTTCTTCTTCTGTCGCCGTTTTGGGTTAAAGTCATCATGGTAAACTTCCACGATCACACCTGCACATTGAATGTATTTTCTTCATTCATTAGAGCTTCCCAAAAGTTTCCAAAATTTTCTTAGGCCATCCTTTTAGTCTTTAAGGGGTCGATGAACCTTTTCCGTCATTTCGTTTTTTCACTTTACTTCCCCACACAGCCTGTCTGATGCCCTCGTTCCCAAATCGCGCCAAAAACAGACTTCACTTTCGAGCCCATAAACGGAAACAAGCGTTCCAACCACAAAACCCGAACGCCCCCAATGCTCCTCCTCTCCACTTCCAAATTAGGGTTCAGCGATCGGTCCTTTATTTCCTCGGCCTGCGTTTCACGGGTACGCGCTCGCTCAGCCCGTCTCAGCTCCAGGCATCCTTCTCTCTCTCGTCTTCCGCCGGCGGGAGTGCGCAGGAACCGGAAGCCGGCGCCGATCTCCCAGCGGTGCATCAATGCGTGCTTTTCCCGTTCCCGTCTCGCGCAGCGAGGAACCATACACACCGGAAATCGTTTCCTTGAACGATCGGCGGCCCTTACCTCCATCGCGAAGGAGTGGTCCCGATTTACTTCCGTTCAGTTGGCCCCGACGGGCAGCCGACCGTTATAGATGGAGGCACTTACACGCGGTTGAATGAGTTTCCTTAACTACGGAACGGTTACCTCCAAAACTAAAATTAATGCCGAACAACACACGCAGCGAGAATCTCTCGTCGGCCAGCAAAAAGCGAACGCGTGTCCGATAGCCACTTAAAAAAAAAAAAAAAAATCTTTTTACAACTTATTATAGCGCAGCTTACGGAAACGGGATATACTCAATCTTAAGAGCAGTGTGCGGCGTTCTGTAAAGCGTGACCGCTTGCGTGTGGGCATAAAAGTTTTATTCTGTTGCAGGGATGGTAATTGGTATGGCTTCGCAATTTTTTAATACATATTCTACATATTCTACCTGAACTTGCAGTTGCACGCCACACCTGACACAGCCCCTGTTAGGCGTCGACGCCATTTCTAAATAGAAAAAAGATAATAATAATTTCTCTGCTGTAATTTTTCCTCCACGGATTCAAGGCATATTAGAAGACTACGCTTTAGCATCGGTGGCTTTCACAATGCAGTAATCAGCTTGACAACTCCACTGTTGCAGCCTTGATTAACGCCGTTGATTTACACAGTAATTATATACCACGTCAGCCATTTTAAATGTGAAAAGAACATGTTCCGATATTCTAACGTTCGACAGTTTTAAGCGGTATTGGGTACTACAAATAAAGCCTGCGCTCAACACCACCCCAGTCTGAAAACGAGGAACTGCAGTGACCAGCTTCCACTAGCCCGTCAAACACCGATGTTTGTCCAAAAACAAAACAAAGCGTCCAATCGCAATAATACGAAAAATCTTAGTATCTCTTCCCCGCATCCACGCGGTTTTGGTGACCAGTCGATAAACTTCCAACGTAAAAAAGGGTTGGCAACAGAAAGGAAAAAAAAAAAAAAACAGAAACGAGGGAGACAAATCTGCTCAGACGTTTTGAGCTTTGTCCCCACCTTCGTCCGTCGTTTCCGGTTTTATCAAATGTGTGTAACATCAGCCAGTTCGCCTTTTTACTTACTCTTTATGCTCGACATGCACGCAGGCAGTTTTTATTGCTTGTACGCCTTAGAAGCATGTCACTAAAGCATCGTCGACTCTCCATTATTGTTTTTTATCGTTTTTTCATCTCACTCTACGTTATCGGGTAGGTCATTGAACAAAAGACGCGAGTATATTTTCTATCCCTTTTAGTTCAATGGCAGCTGGCGCTGCAATTCGATGGAGCCATTCAAGTAGCACTAAAAGTGAATGGTCACGCCGCTCACCGCCTTTGCGGGTTTGCTACTAAACCAACGACGCACCATAAATCAACCGCGATCTCGATTTTTTTTTTCTATGCGTGATTTGTTTAGCTGGTGATTCTATACCCACAGAGGCAAAAAGCGCCTCGGCGATAAATTTATGGCGCTGCTTTAGTGGCCTCATCGAATCGTAGTGTCGGCTGTGGTCGTACTTCAAATAAGACGGAGTGTAAAATTCTATTAGTAAAATATCTTTCTTCCAGATTATGGAGAAAAAAAAAGCGCACATCCCCATTCCCGATGGAGACCGCGCGGAACGCAGTTCGTCTCGTGAATCCAGCGGGAACTAGTTGGGCGCTGGTTCGCGCTCTCACCAGTTACGATGACCTTGCCCGCGGTGGCGCTGGTGTCGGTCACTCCGGTCAGGACGTTGCGTACCTGGCAGCGGTAACCCCGAAACGTGTCCGGAGACTGGACATCCCGAATGAGGAGTTCTCCCGTCGGAAGCATCAAGTACCGATCCTCGATTCCTGGCCGGAAAAACAAGAAACAAAATTTGCAGTCGGAAGGGACGCACGGATTAGTGCAGTCACACCTTCATAAGTTTACCTGAAGCACCGACGAGAAATGCACCGCCCTGTATCCAGGGGCGGATTTCATACTAGGGCGAGGGCCATCGGCCTTCCTAAGCTTCCTAAAGGCAACTTTTTTTTTTAAGGAATAAACGACGTATACACAAGCTTTTTTTTAAGAGAAATTGTCAGTTTCGCGAGAATTGGATATTAATTTGTTAGCGAAATTGATCTGGGCCCGTGACGACACACCCGACTTTGACGTTAGACCTCTGTGCTGGTGTCCCCCCCCCCCCCCAAGCTTCACCCATAAAATCGCCACTGCCGGTATATAGTCTGGCGTTTCGCTACTTTGTCGGTAATCATTGCTGCGTTAACGTTTTAAATAAAATAATGTGTCGATATTGAGCTATTAAAGTTTTATTAAGAAATAACTAGTAGATACGCAATGTTGCCAGTTGGCAGTTTGTGCTTGTCCGTCCCTTCTCGTTTTCTTCCTCAAATTTAATAAAAATTCTCATCAGTTTCATTTACTTTGAGAATATTTCCTCACTAAACGGCTTTAATAACACATCAAATAATGAGACGTCATTAATTTATTTTGACGCCAACGTAATTCAAACGGGAGATTTCTTTTTGCATCACAGGCGTTTATGTTTTTGTTTATGGTTACGTTTTTTTTATTGATGCTCACCAACAGCCACACGCCTTCGTGGTGGTGCACCACCACACAGACGTAGAAGAATGCGCACAGATCAAACACACTAACATTATAAACACAATACCAAGTTTCAAATATATACAGAAAAAGATTACATCTTCTATTATAGTTCTGGCATTGCTAAGTTTTTTTTAAAATAGCTTAGATGCATGAACAAATCATTTGCAGGGGACGAAATACCATAATACAGAACTTCCGTTCGGATGACAGGCGAAAGCTGGAAGCGCCCACTAACATAGAACCGTCTGATTGACCTCAAAGAGCAGGAAGATAAACAAGAAAGTACGGTGAATAATAAACATCAGCATGAAAACTTTCGTTCAAAAGTTCAAAATTTCGTTCAAAAGTGTGTTCAAAATAAAAAAAAATATGAAGATTTATTTTTTCGGAAAGTGCGGTCAAACCTATTGAACTCACCAGCCAGTGTGGTCCTAATGATATTTCTTTTCGAGTTATCGGCCTAAACTAGAAGCATAAATCGCGTCTGGACGTCTTCAATGCGCTTTGATTTAGAAGAATTAGGTGAATTCCAGGCAGTCGAAGCAAGCTCCAATCGTGAGCGAACTAATCAATTACACAGCACGAGCTCAGATGACAGTATTTTAAACTCCCACATAATTCTTGACGCCATGCTGAGCATCCTCAATGATGAAGCCGAGCACATATTGACAGCATCAACATCAACCTGCATTTCAATGCAACTGTAGTGAACTTCACGTGTGTGTTAAATAGTGCTGCGTAATCCGCATACTACAACAATCGAAAAAACTGTATAGAATGAAAAAAAAACATTCGCAAATTTGTTGTGCAAGTATTACAGGAGGACGCTTAAGCGTCGCTTTAAAGCGTGGAACGCGAACGCTGTGCAAGCTTGTCTGTGTGTCTTAGTCAGTACCGCGTCTGGCTCGCAACCGAAAAATCGTAGATTCGAACTCGCCTAACTTTTTTTTATTGTTTTAAATAAAATGAATTACTCGATAAAGTGACATTGTTCGAGAATTTGCGGGGGCCTCTTATTTCCATGATATGTCATATTTTAAATACTTCAATTCACCGCGTGACGTCACGTTTCAATAAACTGAAGCAGCTCGAAACACAAACTTTGCGAGGGTCAACATTTTATGTCTCGTTAATACGGAGAAAAACTAACGGACAAAATACGCAGCTGAACTCATGCAAGCGCCACACGAGCTTCCAGTTTCGGCGCTCTGTCGGTCGTCATCTTCCCAACCAGCAGAGTGTCTGTTGAAGTTCTGTCATGTGACTACCCGGAGGTGGAAAACCACCTGTTCCGCTGACAGTGGGAGTGAAGTGTGGCCGGTTGTCGATACGTGTTTACGCAGTCAAGAGTCATCCTTACGTTTGGGCCAATCTGCACACTGTGGGAGATTGCTAGCTTGCCAAAAGCGCCGCACTACCAATTTATTAGGACCTGCTCATCGACTCGGACAAAAAACGCTTCCCACTCCCGGTGGTTAGGCAGATCATAAGCATGTTTCAAAAATGAATTATCATTGATGTCCTTTTTTCTTCGAGCGAACTTTCAAAACTCGGTGGCCGCAGCTCTTCGGTTACCCACGTTGCGCTTGGCCTAATTTCCTTGTCGCGAAAAATCGTTTTTCTTATATCAAACTCCAGTGTCTACGTTCTTTGAATGTGGATTACTTAGACAAGGCAGAGATATGATTAAATTTTTAAACATACACATAGCGTTCGACAAGGCAGCATAGAAGAACGAACTTTTTTCTTTCGGTGTTCGGTGGTCGCGCTCCCTTTCGACGCTACTTAAAATTACGCTGTTTCCAGCTGATCAATTGACTATCCAACGTTTCAGCACTTATCGCCCCTGCAAAAAATGCTGTGTAGCTGGGTTATGAATGCATTCGCGGAGGGTGATATTTAGCAGAAGTAAGCTACGGTTCAAGCCGACAAAAACGCGTCAAACTGCCCATGAGACAAAAACGGTCATAGTGAACTAATGAACTTTTTAACCGTGTTTGGCTCTCAAATGTAGTCTGCGTGACTCGCTAACATTTTTTTCAAGCATGAAACGTCGATTCAACCAACCATTTGCGAAACCCTTAAACCTTTCGGGTCAAATTGAGCGTGCCGAATGAAGCGAGGCACGCATCTAAGCGAACCGACAGTGAGTCGAGATGGGACACAACCTGCACGGCTACCCAGGAATCAACGAATGCCTGCCACATTACCGAGAGTGTCCCGGAAAGCGACATGGTAAAACCTACACAAAGTTTCTCCCCATAACGACGTATATTTTTTTTTAGCTTAGCCGGCATACGGGCACAAAATGTAAGGGCGCAAACGAGCTGGTGTACATTGCAAATGGTTGAAAAAAAAACCGAGACTGCGGGTAAACGACACAACACTAAAGTTCTTAGTGTTGTGTCGTTTACCCGCAGCCTCGGGTTTTTTTCAACAACATACGGGCAGGTTTGCCACTGCGTCCCTTGCTGAGCTTCAGCATGTTTTCCACTTGGGCAGATCGGCGATCCGCTAACGATGACGTTATTTGCAGGCATTGTCTTTTTTGGGGTATTGGCCAAGCCCGAGACGACACAAACTCTCTCTTTCAATGACATCTGCCTCCTGTGGACCACTGTTATGGCGGCGTCACGCATGCGCGGAACGGTTAGCGAGATCGGTCTATTCAATATGAACGATTAGAGCGCAGTCGCCAAGCGGTTGCAGATACTCTGCGCAAAATCTTCTCTTCAAGTAGGCACGCTTTAGGTGATAAAAACACGTGCATTGCGTTGACGCATTACACTCTAATTAAACTTTCTTGGTCAGAACTTTGTCCAAGAAATGAAAGGTCCGCCCAGGGTCATCCCCTGTTATTTGAAACTAGCCCCTACTACGGAAGAAAACAAATAACTGAATACCTAGGCGGAAAGTACAGAAAACTCTCCCACAACAAGGCCAGTCTAGAAATTATAACATTGCCACGAATGACAGTCAGAAAGACAATTAATTCAGTAATAAACTAAGATTTTAATGGAGCGAACTTGCACTTTAAACAAGCACAGAGGTCCAGGCGTCGCGGGCGACGAAGGTGGCGTGACAGCTAAATCAAACGCTGGCGAAAGTCTGCCGTATGCAGCGGCAGCAGGCTCTTTTAGAGCAAGGGTTACGTACGTTGCGTACCACCCAGAAAGTTCTAGAATTACACAATGCAAGCGTAAAATAACGCGAACTTGGGAGTTCTTTCTGGATTCTTCCTGAGACTAACGAAATAATAAAAAAAAGGGTTTGCGGCTGGGGTTCAAACCCGGCACTGCGGCGTGACACTCGGGCATGCTAGCCACTGCAGTTCTTTCTTTTCCCCCTGTTATATTTAAAACGCTGGCTATTTACCTAAACAAAAATCTTCCGTTTCAGAGACCAGGTGCTTCAGGATATTTTACGAAGCAAAACGAAAGGGCATACTTGGCTGCAGAATATACAAACAAACATGATTGTCGCACAGCAATGAAAAACAACTATTCAAAACATCATAACAAAATTGCTAATGGAGAGCAGGGCGCCCCGCCACGTCTACGTGGTGTGTGCGGCTCTCATTGGAACACATAGAGACCCTGCCTCTACATACATGACCTCTACATCGGCCAGTACTCCAACTCTGGTTCTAGTGTCACCTCTATGAGCAAATCGACGCACATAAACCTGTCAACAAAATGCCGCCATGCTGACTTCACCCCTTTCCCGACTTCCAGGTGATCGGTCCTCTACCTCCACAATGCGTGCGGTTTATAGGAAGGCGAGCACTTCCCAGGCTCTGCTGTATGAACCGGAGTAGAATTCGAGGAACTTTACTTCTTTCCAGCTCATTTGAAAGTCTGTCTGCAATACCGCTCTGTGTTCAGTCAAAAACAACCAGGTCTTCCTGCAGTAAAAGAATACGTTCTCTAGGGTTTTTGGAACCTGGCAAAGTGCGCAATTAGTTGATTAGGGCACAAAACAAACTTTCTTCGCCATCCACGTTTTAGCCGGCAACACTTCGAAATGAAGACGCAGAAAAAAGTTATTTGTCCCGACCTTAGCCGGGTACCTGGTAGGGGCTTAAACACATCTTACTTAAGAATACTCTTTGTGATCGTGTGATATAAAGAAGGCGATGTTAGGGAACCATGCGTGTTTTAGTAAAAACGTTTTCTTTTAACCTTCTGAAAGCACTCCTTTGGATATTTTGCTTCAAGACATTCAATTACTGCACAAT